GCATAATACTCGCCCTCGGTGCACGCTCCGCGGCTCTGGCAATCAACCGCCTACCTCGGACACGAGCAACACGAACACACTGGTAAATCGTACCGAGCAACAACCCAACCGCTGATCCCCCGAGAATCTGCCTCTGTACACATGCACCGGCTCTTTCTCTCTATTTCTTCGCGAAGCCGCGCGGTGACAGATACATTAAGACCCGCATCCGTGGTCATCTTTCCGACTCGATAGTCTCATCGTCGTGCCGCGTCGCGTCGAGAATTGCGTATTTTCACGAAAATTGCGAACAGCTCGATTATCGTACTCGCGCGACAACCACCAATCCCGCTTCGCTTTGCATTACACGCGGGATTAAGCTATCGACTGGAAATCGACAAAGGAAGACAGACGTATCGCGGGAAAAATCTCTGTGATCCCGTGAGAGCAGAGAACTATAATCTAGGCGAAAGAGAGCCGCTGCTCTGGAATCTCTCGATCGGAGACCAACCGGAGTAAATTCGAATCACAATATTTATACCCGCACGGACAGCTGGACTATTTCTTCCCGGTGAAAGTAATACGTTTATTCCCTGTCACGGATGATTGTTCGATTATCGGATTAGCAACGGGTCCCGATTTTTACGCGCGACCACGGCGGTCTTTGATCTCGAATGCGCGTACGAGCGTACCAACCGAACGACAAATGACACGCGCCATTAAAAGTCGCGGTTATAAATTGCAATTACCGATCTACGCGGCCCGTGCAACGCCGTCGCTCCGATACGCTTTCCCTCGCGTGGTCGCGGCTGTCGAAAGAAATCGAAGCGCGTGCACGCATCTTTGTCGCCTCTAACCGTCTAACCGGCCGGATTACCCGCGGATCCGAATCGGTATTGAAATTTATCGATCGAGTCGAAGGTGCGCACTCGAGGAGGTAATTCGAAGGAGAAGCGTGTCACGAGGACGAACGTTTGGAAGACGCGTGCGCTCGAGTCGCGTGAAACTCTAGTCCCGCTTGCGTTACAGGCGAAACGATACGCCTGGTACATCCCGCCGGTGGTGTTTTCGATAGATCCGCCGTGATTAGCGCGATCGGAGTTGCATCGCGTCGGTGTCGCGTCGGAGAACGCGACGCGTGTCTGTAACAATGCGGACGGTTACGCGGCCGATCCGTGTAATTAGCCGTTTCACGCGTGCGAAACTCGGTTATCCGCCTCGGTATCGGAAACTATATATCATAATCTACAACGCGGCAATTTCACGGTGCGTTTGCGAGGTAACAGCTTGACGGAACCCGGTCACGGAAGCAGGCAGACACGATCGGCTCGTCTCGCTTCCGTCTGTGTCCTCCCGTTCGGCCTGATATCGATCGAGGAAATCATCGTCCGCGGCGAGCCGGCCATTTTATACACGCGGCGGTGGCGCGGCGCGTGGGCGCCGAGATAATTACCGTTTTGAAATCGTATATGTATGGACATTGATGGAGCCGCGGCGTCTTAACAATAGTCGCAAACCCGATCCACGATTCATCGTCGACTTTCTTTTCGATCGTAGAGACAGCGCGAGACGAGGCAAGAGGGAAAAAACCATTGTTCCCCTTTACACCCCCATATATGGATGACTATGCACGAAACCGTGTACGCTTACGACGCGTTGCCCCGTCCGGCGTGGCGTATTCAGCGGTAGCCACGGGGATCCGGACATTCGATTAAACGAACGTTATTGGGAACGCCGAGGCGATCGTTTCAACGGATACATCCGTACGATTCCGCGACTCGGAGGTACGCGATGGTCGCGTGCGCGCTAAAGCAAAAGCGGGCATTCGCGGAATGACAGGCGCGGATTTCCCTCCGCTTTCACGGCGAATTTCGCGCGCTCCGAAATGCACGGGTGTTTCCCTCGCTTTCTAATAACCGATCGCCTCCGTGACCGGCATTCTTTCGCGATTTCCGCGTACCTCGGCTACCGATTCCGATCGATTCGCACGACCTATCCTCGACGTTGCACGCTCGCCTCGCCTCACCCGGACGAACCTCGAGTTTTTCCTTCCTACGACGATTCCCCGCGTGGACAGGTCGCTCGCGCGCTTCCCCGTTCTAAATTTCAAGCGAAGCGTGCAACGCGCCGACTTTCTACGAGCACCGGTGCGCCGATGAAACTCGCCACGGCGAAACACTCGGTCGCCAATGGAATAATAAATTGCGATCGCGCGATTGCGTTTCGCGGACGCATAGAAAACGCGCGTTCCGACCGCGTAACGAGGACGTCGCGTGTCCCTGGCGTATATTTCAGCCGGAGCGCCGCGGAAAATACCCGCGGCGTGGGAGAAGCTGCAACCCTGGCGGTTGAACGGGGCGCGGAAGGGCGAGAGGGGCTCGGTGGAGGAAAAATCGTCGAAATCGGGCACACCTGGGCCGCGAGTTATATAGGTAGGGCGTGTCGATGTTGGCACAGCTTGGCAAAACGCGTAGGCCGTCCGCGTATTATGCTGATCCCCGAGTGACTCGGTACGCCGGGTCTGAACTCGCGCGAGGCTCGAATCGACTTTCAGGGCTGGCGCGCGCGCGTCCACCGAGTCCACGCAGAAATACCGTGGCCTGTCGCATTGAAAACGTGCGTCAAGTGACGCGGCCATACGTGCCCGCGTACATAGGTACGTGGGCGACCGCTATAGAGCAGCGGGAGGACCAGGTGTCGCAGGTAGCCAGCGGTTGCCATTTTCCGCGCGCGGAGCAACCGCGAAAAATCGACCGCCACGACGACGCCGGTTCCCACGGTGTGCTCGGGATCGGCTCGGTAAAAGGGCCGCGGCGCCGATCCCGTATCCGTCTCTGTCGCATCGAGAGCGCAGGGTGCCGCTGCCACGCCGATTCCGTGGAAGTAACCGATAAATCGGAGCTGGACGACGCTGCTGTAGGGACCACCGACGCTGTTTATTATACAGGCTATCTATCGGTATCGTTGCTCGCGAGCAACGCGAATCTCGGTTAATCGATTCGCTACTAAATCTACGCTTTATTCGCCGACTTACTTCGAGGTATCGAAGTATCTGGGAATATTTTTCCGCGATTCAAAGACAACGACGACGACGACGACGACGACGAGGACGGAGCAATAGAGAAGAAGTAATATGGCAGATTTGGAAAGCGAGTGAAAAGGAAAAACGACGCGTTCTAAATTCTTCCCGTCGCGTGTTAAAACGCAATGCTCGCGGAGACGACTCTCACTTAGCCTACCCTCGCTTTCATTCGTCACCGTGGCACCTCGGCGCGGTGATAACTGCTCGACAGGTGGAAATAAAATGGTAAACATTGTTCTTCCCGATCGCGCGATAAAAATCCGAACAGTGGATATCCGCGATGTCTTTGCCATTTATCTCTGCGTACCGGGAGATTATTCCGCGGAACGATAGGGGAAAAGAAATATACGTGGATGGTGCTACTTCCAGGAGAAGATGGAGATAGCGCGGAGAGAAAGAGGAAATGGTAGGGGCAATATCGTAACCGTAATGACAGATATGAGCAACTTCTCCGAACTTGGCGAACGCGGTCGCCTATCGAAGTCGCGATTCGGTGGAGGACCGAACGAGAGGATTCTCGGTAGCGGATCGTCCGTCTGTGATCCGCGGATATTAGCGACATCTTAATGTCCCGGCCACTTTCTCAACGTCCCGAACCTACCACTCGAGAAACGTTGATTGAGCGTTACTCGAATTTATCTTGCCGGAAGGTGACACTCCTTATAAGCGAGGGCGAGTCACCTTACTTCGAGTGGCGCGGTTTGAGAAACGCGACGACGACGGTATGATTAGCAAAGGCGCCGGATTGACGCGTTCGGGCGTGGAAAAATGGCCAAGAGCGGGATGGAGAAAAACGCGCGGAAAGGAGCAGTCGCGTTAATCGATCCTGTCGAGCATTCCGCGCGAAACGAGAGTGGCGATTTTCCTAGCGGCTGCGCACCCTTTCATTATTTCCACCGAACGCTTCCGTATCGGTTGATCAACGTTTGGCGCGAACCAAGCCTCCGACCAATTTGAATTTACGCCCGCGGCGCGCTGCCGAGAAAAGCTCCTAATTACACGCGACGGCTTTCGAAGAAACATCGGCGACATTTTACGGCGCCCTCTGCGAGCAGGCGCGATCGACTTGCAAATGACAGCGGGGAAAAAGAGAGGAACGAAGAGAGAACAACGATATCCTTGTCGGCGGGCGGTATCGCGAGTTATCGAGATTGAACGATTACCTCGGCAACCAGCGCCACTCTTATCCGTCAAAGTCCCTAGGACACCGTCGTCGGTGACATCGTCGAGACTTTCGCTCGTAAGCCGATCTCGGAAAAAGAGTAAAACCATCGTCGCTCCGCGTCGGCCACGCGTTTAACCCCTTCTTATTAAATAAATCATTCGAACCTTTACACCGGCCAGCCAATATCTCCCAGTCTCATCTTATAATTCCAACATTAATTTCTCTAATAGTCTCGGACACCGCTTCGTCTTCCGTCGCGCGACACTCGAAACCGGCATTACCTTCTCCGTCGATAAACTCGAAACGCAGCCACGCGAGTCGTAAATTATCGATGAAAACCCACTCTGTCCCGCAACGGTTTAATAATAGATCGGTGCGTTACATTTTTCCCGTGCTTCGACCACTGGTCCCGAGACACTGTGTCCGGCAGACCTTGAACGCGCCGATACTTGTCGCGCATTGTGTCGCCGCGGTTGCCCTTCGCTTGCCGAACAATCTCCGACAACACGGGGAACAGGTATAAACGTCGGACCGATACGAATTTTCGTGGCACGCGAAAACGCCGTACGAACCGTCTCGTTGCTACCACCGGGGCCCGAAGGACGTCGCGGGGCGCGCCGACCGATTCTTCGCGAGGATCCAGCGAATCGTAGAATTCTTTCCTTCGGAACGTCGCTTTGCCGTTATTTCAATAGACGCGCGCATTTTTGCCGCCCGTACATTCGCGTGCGTATCTCACGCGCGTTTTCCTAGCCGAGTTTACGAGACACTCACCTCTGACAGCAGCGTTGAGCCTGTCCAAATTGGCGAGCGTGAGGGGCACGGGACCAAAGTGCATCACGATCTTGTCCACGCGTCGAAGATCGCCGATCCCGGAGTCGCGTCGCGCCATGAAGATGCCGGTGTAGCTGCGACGTATGTAATGACCGCATGTGTCGTTCAACGCGAGGTCCAGGGTGGCGTTCAGCACACCCTTGATCGCCCTCTTAACGCGCACGTGCAACTGTCCGTTCCTCGAGTCCTTGATTTTCCCGGTGAAAATGTAATCCGACTGACGCACCTTCCGCATGAACGTCGTGTCGTTCCTGATCGCCGCGGTCAAGTTGGCGCGACAGTCGAGAAGTTCCTTCGTGGAGGAAACAGCGAGAGACAGCGCGATGCCGGCGCACAACACCAGAATACCGATCTTCAGATTCACATCCATTTTTCTTCCGATTCACGCGCCGTTCCTTTACACCGTTCCAAGCGTCGCCTCGTCCCCCTGCGACATACGTTGCCGCGATGCAACGCTCCACGCGTGGTGTAATAATTGCGAGAGTGTTTGTAATTATTCGCGCACCGTCGCACTCGTTAAATTCATGGCTCGATCAACGGTGACTCGGTGGATTATTACGATTGATCCGCGTTGAGACGCTGCCCGGGCCGAGTAACATAATCGGAATGGAGGATCTACGGACGGAAATGATGGATGACGTTCGGAAAGTTGCCGCGATACCTGGAAACCGATATCCCGAAACAGTGGAACGACGCACAGACGACGATCCAAAGAGGATTTCTCTGCTCCGATCCTCGTCTCGGTTTGATTAGTCGCCGGCTGTCGATCGTGGCATCGTTTGCCTCCAAAGATACCTGGCCACTCGAGCTGAGCCCTCTAAATGGAAACGAGTCCGATCTTACGAGGCGTGTGATCTTGAGCAACAGGTTGGCGCCGTGTGTCGACCCACGCTCGCCGATTTCCAATCCGCGTGACTCGTTTCCCGTTCTACCGAGTGGCAAGTGCGAAACCGTGCGAGATTCGATCGCGTGATCGATAAACTGTCGATTCGGCAGCGAGCTGCCTCGTAGTCGCGACGTTTTATCGCCTGCTCGATGGGACTAGGAGCCGATTCCGCGCGATATTGTTACGGAATGTACGATCTTCGACGATTTCACCCGTCCTACCGGAACATCCAGCGCCAACGAACGCGCAATAACGAGCAATTTATGTCCAGCGATATCGATTCCTCTGCTCGATCTCTATAAAACTCAAAGGCGGTGAACTCTGTAATGGATGTCGGTAGCCGATCATCCGGATAGCAAACACGCCGAGACGATATCGCGCGTGAACGTTCGTAAAGACGATCGATCGACTTTCACTCAAACCGTACTTTCATCACCGTCGGCTAGCATCTTTTCTTTTTCTTTTTCCTTTTCCTTTTCCTCCCCCTCTCTCCCTCTCTCGCTCTGTTTCTCTCTTTCCCGTTCGTCCCCGAAGAAGAGGAACAGAAGCGACGAACGCACTCGGTTGCACTCGCGTGACTAACGTCTCGAAAACGTTCGGTAGCTCACTCGATGACGACTGTCACTGATCACTGACGAAACGAACATGTTATCGCGTATACGTCGTATCGACGGCGGGCGTGACCGACTCGGTTACCGTGAATCGATCGCCGATTCATCGATCGATGCAACGTCGTTCGATGACGGAAGGTGGAACGGAAGACGAACGATCGACACGATCGCGACGACGACGACGACGACGACGACGACGACGACGAGCGACGAGCGACGATCGGGCAACGCGAGACACGGAGAGCCGTGGACGCGAGATTAAGCGCTGCCAAAAGCACTGTCAACGCGAAGTCAGCGGCGCGCTCGACATTCGGGCTACCTCGGCGACTATCCGCGATCCTGCGCGAGAGTGAGAGAGCAGTGGTTGAGGTGGTGGTTGGTCGCGTGGAGGCACGCGCTGGACTGAGGAGGGCTAAGTGTGGATGCTGCAACTACAACGTGTAGGCGTAAGTCGCCTTAGACCAAGGGACCAAGAGGGAGAGAGAGACGACCGGCCGAGTGTGTGCACACGCCGCTCGCACACACGTACGCGCTCCCGCCTCTTTCGGTGCACGCCAGTGTGGTCGTGCGAGCTCACCAGCCACACGGAGGGGAGAGAGCAAGAGAGACAGAGAGGAGAGATACGTTACCAAGACGAGTACGTCATCCGTGTCTACCACGTGAGTATCCAAACATGCGTGCTATACGTGGGTGCTATTGACACACTTATACCTATACCGACGCGGCATTTTCACGTACGCGAGTACGCGCGATCCGCTTGCGAGACGGAGATGGAGTTGGACTTTGTCGGAACCCGGCCATTACCAGTGGCATCGGTCGAAAAGGGAAGAGAGGAAAATTGGTAATCGATGTGGATCGACGCGATACCGAGGATGGGGTATGAAACGGTGGGAATTCTCCGTAACGAGTCCGTCGAAGGAGTTAATGGGTCGACTTCGACGTGACAACGTAGAAGGGAAGAGGCTCGATTCTTGTCCGCTTAGTTTACGATAATAGTTTCTCCCGCGTGAAGCAGAACGGACCGAGACTGATCTACGGTGTCGTCGGTTATGGTACATCATAATTTCCGCGGATATTTATACGCTCGCGTACAATGTTATGCACGGGCAGCGTGGACCTGGGCGTGGATGGAACGAGATTCTTGTCTCTCGCGCGGCCAACCAGATATGGTCTCGAGTTTCGAACGTTCGCAGAAACGATCCACAAAGTGGATACTAGAACTGTCCGTTTTGACGAGAAAACGCGTACGTATACGCTGCCGGGAACACCCACGTGTCTCTCCTTTCCTCTCGTCTCGTGTCCCGCGAAACGATCCCCGATCGACCGATTTCACCCGACGACCCTCGTTTTCCTCGTTTCGTTCATTAGCCCGGGCTAATGCGACGATGTAGATGGAGGAGATGAGGAAACGTGGCCACACTTGTTGGATAGGTCAAGAATGCCGAATAACGTCGAGACGGAGACACGCACACGCGCACGGTGTCGGACCAGTTATCGCGATGCGATAATGAAACACAGATCCGTATCTGGTGGACGTTCGCCCACGTGGACGCGGAGGAATGCAGGCCCGGCTAGTGGCATTGTTGCAGGAATATGCATCGATAGTAATAGGCACAGAGCGGTGACGTTAATGAATGCCTTACGGCGAGATCCGTACCGTATCGTCGTGGATTAAACGAGATTTCTCGTCCGGTCGAACTCGGTCCGGATCCACACGGCAGGCACGCGATCGTTTTCGCGAAAGGAACAGCTCCGTGGAAACGCTTCTATGGGACATTAAGTCGGTAGTACGCGGCGTGGCGTACCATCGCCGACGAGCAAAGCGAATCGCGCCGATGCCCACGCTCTCGCGACATACGTATCACCGCGGATCGTTGCTTCGGACCGACCCGTGTCCTTGTGTACGTCCTTACCGCGCATCTGCGAATCCTATCCTCGAGGGCGTGGTGTGGACGTTACGCCTCGGATTGTCTCGTATCTTCCATCGGAATCGTCTATTTCCAAACGCGTTATGTCCTGCCAAGTGCTAATGGCGCAATTCTCCGCCGGAGTATATCACATTGTCCGTTACAGTTATGGATTTTGTTATAACACCACTCGCGCCGTTTTCGTAGCCGCTTTCGCGCCTCGCGCGGTTAACGATCTTCAGATCGGTATCGGTCCTCCGGTATCGCCCTATCTCCTCGTTCGAGCACGCATCTCGGTCGACGAACCGATCCTAATAGATTCGCGGAGAGATAGAGACGTCGCTTTGGATAGAGACGATACTCGCGATAAAATATACGAATACGTAGGAAGGATCGATCGATAGCGGGATTTCGCGGCCGGTATCCGAGGGGCGCAGCGTTAACCGATCGTTAAACGATCCGCTTTTTCGAAGGTAACCCGTTGGCGTATAGACAGGCTACACGGGCCGCTCGGTAGACAAATCGTCGGCCGATGGGAGTAAAATATGGCGATGGAAAGACGAGACAAGCTACCGCGCCGACTGATCCGCCAGCTAACGAATGGATCGATTTGCGTGGCTCGTTAACAATACACGTAAGGAACGCTAATGTGCCACTTTGTTTCGGACGACCTCGCCGCGATGAGGCTGTCGCGGACGAGCAAAAAGACAGAACCAGATCCTTCGCGGATCCCCTCGCGTCTCTCTAACCTGCGTCACCGTATCCCCTTGTCGCCCAACCACCCTGTCCGTTATCCCCGTTTCATCGCCGGCCGATCGACAGACGATCCACGGACGCTAAATACGTGTACGCTTGATTAAGCTAATCTTACAAGTTCCGCCGTATTACGAGGCGGCCAGTAGCGACGAAAGTTATCGCGGATTGCCGTGGCATCGCGCCGCGAGAGAATCCCACCGCGTCCAGTTTATCGTTTATTCGCGCTTTAAGCCGGGATCGCGAGGTTCGCCGGAATTTATTTACCGACCCGGAGAATATACATATCCCGGCGCTCGCTGCTCGCAGCCGTGGTAGATCGGCCGAGAAACCGACCCGATGACGGCACGATGCAGATGAGTTATGACGACCGTCGCCTCTGGCTTCTCCGCGTTACGATCTCCAACCACCCTCGGTCTCCGCGTTGTTCCACCCGGCGACTTATAAATGCTCGCGTGCGCCATCGCCGTAATGCCGACGTCGTTAGCCCTTTGTACCTTTGTCGAGGGCAATGTTGAGTAATCGAGCCCGAACGACGATCAGACGTGATCGAATCGGTCGCAATTCCACGATTTCATTCGTCCCTCGTCGCGGCGTTTACGCTCGACCCACGAATCTCGGTACACCCCGCGGTTTGCGAATATTCGAGGGACGAGTTGGCAGGAAAATTCCGGACGACGTCGAAATCATTCTCAGCGGCCGTGAACCAGTTCGATGATAATTCGCCGAGCGGGAGAACTGCCACGACCTGCGAAGGAACGTGGCATCGTGTTCGAGGTGGATGATCCGACGGCCGACGTGGTCGAGCGCGGCGCGCAGAATCCCATATAAAGGCCGGGCACAGGTAGAACGCGGGAGCCGTGGCGAGCGGAACGCAAACGCGCGAAACACGCGACCACGCACGCACACGGCCGTGCACGACATTGTAGCCACGGGGATACCTGTGGCGGGACGAAGACGGCAGACGAGGACGGTGGACCGTGGCACGAGTACGAGCATTAAATACACACGCGGCGTCCTGGTGTGCGTGTACTTAGCATAAGTCTCGCACCCGAGGCACTCTCTCATCGTATTTCATGCCGGCTGCGCTTATACGCGCGCCGAACCAAAGACCGCCTCTCGTTCTGCTTCCTTCGTCGATTCTGCCTCCTATTTCTTCCCGGTCGTTTTCGTTTCCCCCGTTCCAGGTACGTAGTACGTGCGCCGCGTCCAG